TCCAAAGATGCCGCAACCCAGTGACGTCAAGGACTACAGGCCAGTGGCACTGACGTCCCACGTCATGAAGACCATGGAGAGGCTTGTCCTGGATCAGCTCCGGCCCATTGTCCAGCCACTTCTGGACCCCTCCAGTTCGCCTATCAGCCCTGCCTGGGAGTTGAGGATGCCATCATCTACCTGCTCAACCAAGTGTACGCTTACCTGGATAAGCCAGCCAGCACTGTGAGGATCATGTTTTTTGACTTCTCCAGTGCATTCAACACCATACGGCCTGCTTTTCTGGGTGATAAGCTGACAGCGATGCAAGTAGATGCCCCCCTCGTGTCCTGGATTGTTGACTACCTGACTAGCAGACCACAGTATGTACGCCTGCAGCACTGTGTGTTGGACAGAGTGGTCAGCAACATTGGAGCCCCACAGGGAACTGTCCTCTCTCCCTTCCTCTTCACCTGCTACACCACCGACTTCAGCTACTGCACAGAGACCTGCCACCTTCAGAAGTTTTCTGATGACTCTGCAATAGTTGGATGTATCCGCAGGGGTGATGAGGATGAGTACAGGGCGACGGTGAAGGAGCTGAACCATCTGCAGCTCAACGCGACAAAGACAAAGGAACTGGTGGTGGACCTGAGAAGGGACAAGGCACCGGTGACCCCTGTGACCATCAGGCGGGTCAGTGTGGACACTGTGGAGGACTACAAATATCTGGGAGTGTATATTGACAATAAACTGGACTGGGCTAAGAACACTGACGCTCTCTACAGGAAGGGCCAAAGTCGTCTCTATTTTCTGAGGCGCCTGAGGTCCTTCAACATCTGCCGGACTATGCTCAGGATCTTCTATGAGTCTGTGGTGGCGAGTGCTATCCTCTATGCTGTTGCATGCTGGGGAAGCAGGCTGAGGGTGCAGACACCAACAGACTCAACAAACTGATCTGCAAGGCCGGTGATGTTTTGGGTGTGGAGCTGGACTCGCTGATGGCAGTGCCGGAGAGGAGGATGCTGTCTAATCTGCAGGCCATTATGGATGATGGCTCCCACCCACTCTACGACACAGTGATGAGACATAGGAGCATATTCAGTGCAAGACTCATTCTACCGAAATGCACCACAGAGCGCCACAGGAAGTCATTCTTAGCTGTGGCCATCAAACTCTATAACTCCTCCCTGAATGTGTGACACTATGGTTAATTTGTGCAATACTCAATACCAGATTGTACTGTTCATATGTGCAATAATAATGATAGTTAAAAAAACAATTACATTATGTGTGCAATAACTCAATAATTTGAACTGCTTTATACAATATGTTTCATATTTATTATCACAGCCACTGCCACTTTACTGTATTCGTAAGAATATAAACATGTATATATTGCAAATTTTTCTTTTTTGTTTTAAATTATTATGAGTGTTTATTCTTTTACATAAATGGTTGCAACTGTAATAACTGCAATTTCCCTCTGGGATCAATAAAGTATTCTGATTCATGACTTGTGATATCATTGCATCTTATTTAATCTTATTTAATATTGCATGAATCGTATGTCAGTGAGCTGATAGTTAACCACCACTATCACAGGTTATAGTTAGCAAAACACTGAATTCCATTTGGGAACTCAAGGCCAAGATGCAGAGAAAAATCTCTGCATTATTTAAAAAAGCACTACACAAAGCCCCATCCCTGTCCTCAGTCTGGTTGACAGTGCAAGAGGTAGGTTATCTTAGGTAAGATTTATTGTGATACACTCATCATAACAAAAGTAGAACCCTTTTTGGTGCTGTATGTATATCCATTTTTAAAAAGTTCCATATATTTTTTTTACTCTTTCTTGCGCCACTGATTTAGAAAATATATTACAGCTTGTCGTGGACCTTTGGTTTTGGTAATGTTGATGTTTTATAGAATAAGCTTTACCACATACCAGTGGAGAAGCATCACATGGCTGATTGGACAGAACACAGTTAGCACATATGACCTCAAGTTACTTTAAGCTCAAGTTCATTGCAAATTTCAAACCTAGACTGAGGCTTTTAGTTGTTTGATTCTAGATTTAAGTTCGGTCAGGCTGAAACTGGCTTCCTACTTGCCAGCTTCTTCAAATTTTCCATTCCACCTTAAATGTTTCATCACTCCCTGGGTGCCACAATGCAGTTGTGGCACTATTTAAGGTCGAATGGAAATTAAAAAAAAAAAAAATACTTGGTGGATAAGAAGCTAATTTAAACTTCATTTAAGTTTGTGCAGTGATAAAAAACATGATAAATGGCAAAACTGGAAGTTGCAAAAACAAAGGCTTTGAGTTTTTGGGTGCTGTGTGTAACTAGACCCACAGGGCCCATGACCACGTGTAGCCCCAGGGCCCCCAAGTGGGATAAAGCACCCCTGCACAGCTGTTCATTAAAAACCAGCATGCTTCTGTGATTGACATCATCACACCATTGTCAAAAAACACTGTTTGTTGCTGCATCCACAAATGCAAGTTAAGTCATAAGTAAACAACATCCAGAAATGCTGTCTACAACCTTTCAGATTGTTAATGAAAATATGGGAAGCTGTGTTCTTTGGGCCAAAGAACTAAAGAACCATCCAGATTGTTACCTGTGTAAAGTTCTAAAGACACTGTCTGTCATGTTATTGGATTGTTTTAGTGTCCATTGCATGAATAACTTACACATCTGCGAAAGCACACTTAATGCTGAAAGATATATGCACATTTAGGAGCAACATATGATGCTTTATAAATGCATCTACCCTTTTCAAGGACATCCATGCTTATTTCATTAAGACAACACCAAGACACATACTACACATAGTACAGAAGTATGGTTGCATAAACATAGGTGCTAGACGGACCTGCTTGTCTACTATTAAAAAATTGTGGTGTGATATGAAATGCAAAACATGGCAACGAAGGCCCCATATGGTTGTGCAGCTGTGTAAAATGCACTTTTACAACTGGATCAGTTAGTGTCTACAATCCAGTCCTCAAACAAATTTAATAAGTACTGTTAAAAAGAAAGGTCATGTAATACAGTGATATATCATGTCTGGAATAAGCATATATAAAAACAAAAAACCCCAAAAGGATTCATAAAGTAAAAAATTAAAACATTTAATATCATCAAACAGAATTAAATGATCACTGTTTCTCTTTCTACGTCTATCTATCTCTATATATATATGTATATATATATATATATATATATATATATATATATATATATATATACATACACAATCCCATTTACAAAAGTTGGGACGCTGTGCAAAATGTAAATAAAAACAAAATGCAATGTTGTACAAATCATTTAAACCCTATATTTCATTGAAAATAGTATAAAGACAACAATAAACTGAGAAACATTCTGTTTATTGAAAAATATTTGTCCATTTTGAATTTAATGCCAACAGCACGTTCCAAAAAAGTTTGGACAGGGCAACAAAAAGCTGGTAAAGTTGTGTAATGCTAAAAACAACACCTAGTGCCTAATTGGATACAGGTCAGTAACATGATTGAGTATAAAAAGAGCATCTCAGAGAGTCTTTCAGAAGTAAAGATAAGGAGGGGTTCACCACTCTGTAAAAAACTGTTCAGGCAAATAGGGCAACAGTTCAAGAATAACGTTTCTTAACATAAAATAGCAGAGAAGTTTTGCTTTTCATCATCTATGGTACATAACAACATTAAAAGATTCAGAGAATCTGGAGAAATCTCTATATGTAAGGGGCAAGGCCAAAAACTAGTATATGCTGGCCATGATCTTTGGGCGGCAAAGCATTAAAAACAAACATGATTCTGCAGTGGAAATCACTACATGGGCTCAGAAACACTCATGAAAACCACTGTCTGTGAACACAGTTCATCACTGCATCCACAAATTCAAGTTAAAACTCTAAAACGCAAAGAAGAAATTATATATAAACAGGATCCGAAAACGCTGCCACCTTCTCTGGGCCTGAGCTAATTTAAAATAGACTTAGGGGAAGTGGAGAAGTGTCCTGTGGTCTGACAAATCAAAATTAGATTTTTTTGATTGTCATGGACACTGTGTCCTCCGAGCTAAAGACCACTCAGCTTGTTATCAGTGCACAGTTCAAAAGCCAGTATTCATGATGGTGTAGGGGGGCATTAGTGCACATGGCATGGGTGACGGGCACATCTGTGAAGGCACCATTAATGCTGAACGATATGTACATGTTTTGGCAACATATGCTGCCATGCAGATGACGTCTTTTTCAGGGAAAGCTTTGCTTATTTCAGCAAGACAATGTCAAACCACATTCTGCATCTATTACAACAGCATTGCTACTGGTGCTAAACTGACCTGCCTGCAGTCCAGACTGTCACCACTGATAATATTTGGTGCGTTGTGAAATGAAAAATCTGATAAAGGAGACCCGGAACTGTTGAGCACCTAAATCCTGTATCAACCAAGAATGGGAAAACATTTCACTTTCAAAACTACAGCAGGCAGTCTCCTCCATTCCCAAACACTTACAGAGTGTTGTTAAAAGAAGAGGTGATGAAACACAGTGGTAAACATGCCCCCGTTTTTTTGGAATGTGTTGCTGGCATCAAGTTCAAAATGGGCATATATTTTTCCAAAAAAATAATAACATTTCTCAGTTTCAACATTTGATATGTTGTCTTTGTAATATTTTCCTTCAAAAACATGGTTTACATGATTTGTATAACATTGCATGCTATTTTTTATTTACATTCTGCACAGTGTCCCAACATTTTTGGAAATGTGTGTGTGTGTATATATATATATATATATATATATATATATATAATGTATACACATATATATAGAGAAAGAGACAGAAAGAGAGACAGAGAGAGAGAGAGAAAGAAATAGAGAAAAAGAGGTCATTATTTATTTTTGGCTTTTAAATACTGCTCTGTTTTATGGTAATACATAAATTTAAAAAGTTGTAGCTGTTATTGGACAATCGTATAATAAAATATTTGTAATGCTCTCTTGTTGCAGGCTAGCTTTGTGTAATTTTGGGGAAAAGTCTTGTAAAAATCTGGGATCAGTTTTACAAACAGAAACCTCCTCCCTAAAAGAGCTGGACATCAGTAACAATGAGCTTCATGATTCAGGAGTGGAGCTGCTGTCTGCTGGACTGAAGAGTTCACACTGCAAACTGGAGATACTTAGGTCAGCTTTCTCTTCATTTTGGAATGGAATGTTAAAGCTTGATGTTGTTTTCTTATATCAACAACAACATGTGGGTTTGAATGTATTTAAGGAGAGATTCCACTGATATTTCTAAATTTCTTCTTTATTTGGTTGCTGAGATGTCATTCAGAGGTCAGTGTGAATTCTGGCAAAACATATTTTTTCTTTATAGCAGTAGTGAGGGTAACAATGTCTAAATGTACTTTTACTTGTAAAGTAGTAGTAAATCTTAAAAAATCTTTAGGGACCATTTTGAGAGATCAATCAAGTTTTTTGGTTTTAACATTTGTTTTAACTGGTAAACATTTCCCCATCTCACTGGCCTTCGACAGAGCTGCTGCCTCTCAATTTCCATCTACAGGTTAAGAAATTTAGGGATATAAAATTGCACTATGATCAACACTATGGCCTTTTCATTGACATTAATTTATTATAAACAACAATATATAGCAAATTTGGGGTCATTTATTTGAAATATTGAAGAGAAACACAAAACCGAAGAATATAAAAAGTTGTCAATAATGTTATTTCTATCTCTCTTGCTTGTTGACACTATAACTTTTTAAAATATTTGGTTTTTCAACTAGCAAAATTTAGTGTTAACCTAACCCCTTTTCTTTGCATCATTTAAACTCAAAATTAGTTAGCGTTAGCTAATAAGTAACTGAGCAAAAACCCGACAGCCAGCTATACTGACCATAATTTAACACATATCCATATTGTGGGTGGATAGATTTACTCTTACACTGCTGACTATTTCACTCTCTATATTATAGATTTTGAATAAGTTCCAATGTTTATTTTAGTGAGCTTTTAGTCAAAAAGCTGGCTTTAGCTTCAGCAGTTGCCGATTTCAGTGCAAAACCAGAGACCCTCCCCCAGGTCTGATATGATTCACTTACATCTTACAAGGTCTGATATGATTGGCTTAAAACATTGGAGGTCTGATGTGATTGTATGTGCTGGGGTTTCCACTTTTCAAATTATGTTAGTCAATTTCTGGTAGCACAGCAGAGGCCGCACTGCACAGGAGCAGCAGCAGCACCTCCCTCAGGTTGTGCCCTGCTATTGATGGGAAAGACAATGAACTGAACACTGGCTGACTAGAGACCCCTCCTAATAAGGTAATATAGGGAAGCAGACTATGGATTGTGTGCCCACAGAAGGGAGCTGTGCCAGATGACAGTTTAAGTTATAGCTGAGGTTCACTCTCGTATGTATATGGAGGGTTGTGTGAGATGGCCCTATGGGGAGTTGTGCAAGTGGGCCCTGTAAGGAGAAAACAATCTGGTAAGACTAGAGTGTGTTTTAAAAAAAGACATCATATGAGTTTGGTTTTAAAGGTTATCAAAAAAGTGTAAGGTTTGGACATGATGGGGACTAAAATGGTATGAAATTGTGTAACTGGGATGGGGAGATTACCTCATCACCCCAGAGGGGAATAAAAAGGGATGTTTTGAGATATTCTTTGCATTGTGGTTGACTGGGAACCATCTTGCCATTTGATGCTCAATAAAGTGAAAGCTCTTTCCTTCATTCCACAAGAACTCAGTGGCTGAAGTCATTTTGCATTCCATTTTATCCTTTTTCATTTTTGTTGATATTCTTTGATTCTTTTAATTCTTTGAAGATGTTAGATTACAGATAGTTATTAGAGCAATAGTATAGATAAAGTTAGTTACTTATAAATGTCTAGAACCTGGGCAAAAAGAGAGAGCTCTTGGTTGCAACACTATCGCAGGATATTGCGAATGAGAATAAACTGTAGATCAGTTGAACTAATAACATGCATTTTTTTGGGAAGGGGTGCTAAATGACCTAGCTGTGGCCATAGTGTGCCCTAATAAGGTTGGAAATTAGAGATATAATTACTTAAAAAAAGCATAAAATTAAAAAGTCAAGAATAACCAAGTTTAATTTATAAGGAGTAAGTATTTTTTGGACATTGTTAATATCTCCTCTACAATTAAACCTTTGTCCAAAATATAAAATCTAGCATCCAAATCAGACTCAACAATATACATACAATCTGGGAAATGGGAGGAAGATCTCTCAATTACTCCTACTGCTAATTCATGGTCACAGATTCTTAAAAACATATTTGATATGACTAACAGCACCAGCCTGTACCTCATACAGTATAAAATTATTCGTAGTATGCACTGCATTGGAAAAAAATAAAATGGGATTCATAGGCTCTGAAATCTGCTCTCATTGCTCATTAAACACTCCTGACAGGTAAACTCATGCCATATGGTGCTGCACGCTCATCTTACTATTCCTATCACTCTTATTGGTAGACATACCAACAGAAATGTCATCAAGGAAACAGCAGAATAATTGTTATAGTGCTAACAATCACCAAAACAACAATTCTGATGAACTAGCAATCAAGGAAAACTAACATCACTCACAGGAAACCTACTCTCTGATTATCTATCACTGAATCATCTTTCAGCCTCCATGAGTAGCAAATCCACTAAATTTGGTGTGACATGGTGAACAATCATTAACTTCTTACATACAGTAGTAATGCCCAAACCCAATTAATTTAATTCAACCCATGCAGAAACAATAGGCTGAACAGCAAAAAATGTGAAAAATAGAAAATCTTTAAAAAACAGCTGTGAGGGACACTGATTCACTCCCCGAAATTAAGGTGTACAGATTTTTAAATCAAGTGCATTTTTATTAAAAAGATGAAGACACTGAAAAATATAATATATAAATAGTGATCTTATTTAGGCTGTGACAGGAATAAAGTGGCATGCCAAAGATTGGGGATCCCTGGTCAAAATTTCTGTTACTGTGAAAAGCTTAGCTAATTGAGTATTAGATGAGCTGTTTTCCAAAAGGCATAAAGTTAAAATAGTAAAGACATGTGTTGTCTTTAAGAAAGATTACTTTTTATTTCTGTCTTTTACATTTTTATTTACTTATATGTCAACTAAGTTCTGTGCATTGTCTGTCTGTTTCTCTCTTTTCTGCATTCTGCAGATTATCAGGATGCATGGTCAGAGAGGAAGGCTGTTCTTCTCTGGTTTCAGCTCTGAATTTAAACCCTTCATACCTGAAAGAACTGGATCTGAGCTATAATCTCCCATTAGAGTCAGGAGTGAAGCTGCTCTCTGCGAGACTGGAGGATCCACACTGCACACTCAACACACTCAGGTATGAACAGCTGTGGTCACAGGTGTGGGTGTGTGTGTGTGTGTGTGTGTGTGTGTGTGTGTGTGTGCGAGTGTGAGTGCATTTGTGAGAGAGAGACAGAGAGAAAGAGAAACTGAATTTTAAAAATTTACTGTGATTAACCAATGGGAACAGCATGGAGAGAGAGAGAGAGATAAAGTGGGAAAGTGAGTCAGAAAGTGGCAAAGCAAGAAACAAACAAACAGAGAGTGAGAAAAATAGTTTTGCACTGAAAGTCTCTCACTGATCTGTGTTTGTATTCTTTAGAGTGGAACATGAGGGTGAGATGAGAATCAGACCAAAGAAATGTAAGAACAAACACACACACACTAACAATATGTGGGCCCTTTTTGGGTAACATACACTAAAACATTTGCACACACTCGCACTATTTGAACACACCACTGAAACAATCGCACACGCCACTGAAATACTTGCACATGCACACACCTATGAAATGAGTGTGTGTCTATGTGTTTGTGTGTGTGTGTGTGTGTGTGTGTGTGTGGATGATTGTACAGAGGCTGCAGTAACTGCAGGTGTGTGCATCATAAAAGTTTTCTTCAATGTGCAGTACTAGTCTTGTGTGTTGTGTTTGGTTGTTCATGTACTTCAACAGTATCTCTGAAATCAAACCCAGACAATACAGGGTGATTCAAAAAGATTGATCCAATTTCAAAGCGCCATATTTTTACAACTGTGAGGCCCCTAGGAACCAATAGCATACCAATTAAAATAGGGGGTCATAGAGTTTCTGACTGTCACTGGAAGATAGCTCCTTTCAGTCTGCGAGGAGATGCGACCCCTGAGCAGAAAGCGGATTGCGTTCTCCACTTCAATAAGAGTGAATCCGTCATAACTGTGCAACGTGATTTTCATCTGCAGCGAACCTCCAACAGCTCAGAGCGTTTGCCGTTGGTTCCACACTGGATGATCTCCGAAATCACACTGAATGAGCCGTGAATACAGCAACACCAGACATGCTTAATACAGCAAGGGATGAATTTGACTATGACGTTGATGTTGTCCGTACAACTGGAGGAGGTTCAAACTGAGCACTTGTAAAATTACATAATAAATGTTATGCTCACTTAAACCATTTACAGTTTACTGCATTGCTCTGTAATGATTTACAAGCGAAATAAATCGTTTTGAAATTGAATGAATCTTTTTGATTCACTGTATTATTAGAAAAGCAGAAATATTAAAGGTGTTTATGAACTCTGTGTGCACTGTATGATGGCTAAACAGGGTTTTTATAAATTATTGTACAGTTTTGAATGAAAAAACTGTTCTCCTGAAGTGTTCTCCTGCTTGTATGTGTGACTGTGTTTAGTGTTTGGACAACATGAGCCCTGTTTTCAAAATTGATCTTAAGCAATTCTAAAAGTCTGCAAAGATGAAAAGGGTAATTTAACTGATAGGGCAGCTTGTTTGTTGATCCTTAAAAGAGGCTGAACAGAGGATTTTTTCCAGAAACTCTTTATAGTTGTGCTGCTGACCATTTATTTTGTAAAACTCTGCCTTCCTGTTACAGTGAAATGACTTCCAGGTGCACTGAAAACTCTCATGCACACACCAGTGACTGCAGTCTGTGTACAATCATTCACACACACACACACACACACACACACACACACACGTACAAATGTTTCATAGCTGTGTGCAAGTAGTGTGTGTGTATGTACAGTGGCGAGTGTGAATGTTTCAGTGGTGTGTGGGTCTTTCATGGGTGTGTGGGTGTGTGTTTCCATGGTGTGAAAGGTGCACTCGGTAGTATATGGTTGGACTGATTACAGACTTTCCTAGAATGACCTGGTTCTTCAATGGTCAGGACCCCCACAGGACCACTACAGAGCAGGTATTATTTGGGTGGTTGGTCAGTCTCAGCACTGTAGTGAAATGGACGTGGTGGTGACAAAGCACTGCTGCTGGAGTTTTTAAACACTGTGTTCACTCACTGTGCACTCTATTAGACACTCCTACCTTGTCGATTCACATTGTAGATGTAAAGTCAGAGAAGATAGCTCATCTGCTGTTGTACAGTTTGTATCCTCTCATCTTTCATCAGTGGTCACAGGACGCTGCCCATAGCTTACCTTTTAAGTACCTTGCAGTACCTTAAGTACCTTTCTGGACTAGGACTGGACTTAAAAGATGGGTTTTCTGATACATTTACTACAATAAGACTATTTTCATTCCTTATCTGTGGGAACATTTCATAAATTATTCTTAGTGATATGCCCCTTTTATAAAATTATCAAATCACGTCTAATCACTTTCTTCATAAAAAAGAATAATAACTAAACCCTAACTTTGGTGAAAATATTTATTCTTGCAATTATAACTAAAATAAACTGATAGGGTTCACAACACACATCAGTATTTAGCGTAAAGGTCAAGACACATGAATCTGCAGTGTGTATGGTTTTTTACAGTCTGACAGTAATAATTGTGGAGCGATTTTAATCCAGTATGAATCTGCAGTGTGTAGTTTTTACAGTCTGACAGTAATAATTGTGGAGTGATTTTAATCCAGTATGAATCTGCAGCGTGTGTAGTTTTTAAAGTCTGATGGTAATAATTGTGGAAGGATTTTAATCCAGTATGAATCTGCAGCGTTTGTAGTTTTACAGTCTCACAGTAATAATTGTGGAGCGATTTTAATCCAGTATTGTAGTGTGGCTAAACATTTCCATTCAACTTAATCATAAACATATCACTTAATTTGCAAAACGAAAGTTTCCAATCATGATTTAAAGCTCAAAACGCCTTTGACAGTAATTTGAGGATGAATACCCTTTATTTTATAAACCTGAGTTCTCCAGATCCAGATACTTTCTCCATAGTCATACAGGATCTCATCACCTGGTTGGACAACATTAAAACAAACAAAAAGAAAAAGAAGACAGAACAAGAGTATAAGAATGTGACTTGACCAATCAGTTTTGATAGCAATCTTAACATTTAGTATGTAAACTGGTTCTGACATGTATATGAGAATAGAGTGTGGCATGACTACGCTAATAATTATATTACATCCTGTCCAAGGCCATAGCTGTGCGGTCAAATGACTACAGAACAAGGAGTTCTACTCTAAAACTATTATGGATCAAAATTTAAAAACTTCTTGCTGAGTCAATATTTACTCTGTCAGTCAAGAAAAGATATTTATATTTAAAGTTTAAGCAAATAGAAAAATTTAAATTTAGTCAGACTGCTTACATCCATGTCCTGTCCTGCCACTTAAAATCAAACATGTACACCAACTGCCCTTCTCCTTTGTTGGGATATTTCTCCTTTGTTGGGATTCTTTGCTGGTGATTAACTCTCCACAGTATTCAACAACAAAGTCACCTTTTGAGATGTGTTTATGTGCAAACACACCATGATCTGAAACATGTGTCACAGAATGTTTTAAAATTATTATTTCTTACATTTATGAACAACTACAACTACTTTATCAACAGTCACAGAATAAATACTTCAAAGTTTGTGGATGAGTTACGGGGGCATTCAAGTGATAAAATGTGAGTCTGCGTCTCATTTTTAAATATAAGCAGGATACGATTCTCAGGGACAGGTTAACACCCCCTTTAATTAACAAGTAGATAAATACATGAGATGTAGAGAGAACACAGAAGACTGAGACAAGCAGTAAACGTTTTGAAACTAACATATGTAATAATTAGGGGTGGGAATCTCTTGGCACCTCACGATTCGATTACAATTCAGAGGGCTGCAATGTGATTATAAAATGATTATCGATGCATCTTGATGCATCTTTTTCTATACAGGATTTCTTTTTTCTCACTGTGTGACGACTTGGTACTTTTAAAGCAAAGTATTTGTAATGATCTATAATGAATCTATTTCCAATATTTTTCATTAATAATAAAAAAAATAATAAAGTGATGTGGCAAGTGAACTGGAAGGCTCTCATTCACTGCTTTTGTTTGGAGCACATTAGACGCTACTGCCACTCATCTGTGATAAAATGTGCTGTTAGGGTGACATAAGATCCAGTGGCAATGAATGTCCACGCAGCACATTACAGCCATCCCACCCGTTTTCTTTAGTGATTTTATAACTTCGGATTTGGTCATGTTGTATAAAGTCAGGGGTCACTGTGTCAGTATAACATCTGCGAGACAGGACGTGTGCAACACAGCGCGAAAGCCCTGTTTCTGAACGAACTGGCACTTAGCAGCACAGTCTCTCCTAGCTAGTATTGAACAAAAAGGCAAAGAGAGAGATTTAGCTATGACAAACATTTGGAGATTAATGGACATATTCGCATTTATAAGCGGCGCAGTTGGTTTTCTGGAACGTTAAATCTGCAACAAGAGACTGTCAAACACTAAAAAGTTGCGAAGATGAAGTCGCTTCTCTTTCAAATTTTCCCGTTCCACCTTAAATGGTGCCGCATTTACATTCGGCGCCTCAGTCATAATTTAAGGTGGAACGGAAAAATTCAAACAAGAAGCTGGAGAATAGGAAGCAACTTCAGCCTCGTAAAACAGTCTAACGCTGAGAGACATTTTACAATAAGCTGCTCTACTTCTGAGGAAAGGTTTTCTGGCGGAGATGGGAGGAAAGCGGCTATAGCTAAAGCTTAAAGCAGAGCAAAGTAAGTCTGCATTTTCGTTCATATTTTTTAGCCTATACTAGGACATCAGCACACACTGAGACATACTAGACATTAAATGTTGTGGCTCCCAAGGTGGTTTGATTTTTGTTGAAAGGACAAAATGGCTCTTCTAAACATTTGGGTTGTGACTCCTGACATAACCTGGCTTTTGATGCAGAGGGAGCCAGTCGGATTTCTCGCTCATCCAGTGGTGTTTTTGTTATGTGCCGCCACAGACTGTCCGGGCGCTGCACTTACCCAAGTCCAAGTTCCACCCTTTGCATTCCGTCAACATTACATTATAAATTAAAATTTAGAAAATCGATTTTTGACATTTGCGAATCGATTCAGAATCGTTCACGTCCGCATCGCGATACATCAAAGAATCAATTTTTTCCCGTCCCTAGTAATAATGAATATAAATGTCTTTTTCATATTCAGACTGAGGAAATCTGTGTGTCTGTGTTGTACAACTCCAGGTGAAAACAGCCAACTAACCTTTCATCCTGGTTGGATAAGTGACAAGAGAGAAGATGTCCTTGCTATTGATTGGTCAGCTGTGATGACATATGGTGCTCTTAAACATGCAGACTAAAAATGTAAAGGAAGCTAGTGGAACAGTTTTCAGTCACAATTGCTTTACAGACAATAATGAAACGTGCTTGAGAGAGTTTAAAA